ATTTTAGGGTGAAATATGACCTGAACAGACTCTTGATTCCTGTTATGATTAAAAAGAAAAGCAGATATTCTGTTTCATGTGAGTTTGGGCTCTGTTATGAAACACACATCTACCCCTGGATTACAGGTTAGCCAGCACTGAGCGTTTCCCAGCATTCCTCACGAGTGCCCAAACCGTAAGGCACTGCAGCGTCGACTGACCGTCAGTGAATTCCCATGTTTCTAAACTCCGCCACCTCTTTAACGGCTCCGGCCCGGGACCGGTGGATCTGAGGGTGAATTACAGTGTTCAGTCACTGTGGATGAATTCATATTCAAAGACAGAATCAAATATTCATAATGGTCAAAAATGAATGGGATTGGTTTGTAAAACGAACGGACGAACAAACAGAAATAGTCCTGTTGTCAAACCCGACCCACCCACAACTCTCAGAAAGAAAGTGCACTTGAGTGCAATTAGCTTGCCGAGGAAACAGTTGTTGATATAAAATAGTGCTTGTTGCTGTCTGGTGGCTCTGGTTTCGTCCCGTCGCTGTGTCCGTCGGTGTCGAGGCGGGCCGGGTGCTGGTTAAGTGCTCTGTGCTGCTCGCCGCCGGCGTCCCGCTGCTGTCACCTGCACTCCACAGACAGCCCCGAGGTCTGCGGCGCGCCGGACACTGTGGGCTCGGCCAGCGTCAGCATGACAGCCGCCGTCAGAGAGCTGGAGGACGGCGAGGATGAAGACGAGGACGAGGCCGCCGCTGCGCCTGCTGGGACACAAGAGGGGTACGGGGGAGCAATCATCTTGTTCAAGCTCTTGTTCTGTGCAGGCTGGACTATTGCAATGCTGTCTTTCAGACAGTTCTATCAAACCTTTACAATTAATCCAGAATGCGGCTGCAAGATTAATCTTTAATGAGCCAAAAAGAACGCACGTCACACCTCTGTTTATCAGTTTGCACTGGCTACCAATAGCTGCTCGCATAAAATTCAAGGCATTGATGTTTGCCTACAAAAAACCACCACTGGCTGTGATTCAAAGAAATTCCAAAATTTTAATGGAATCAGCTGTTCAAAAGCACTATTCAACATTTGAAGTTGTGGATCAAAACCTTTTATCAAAGTTGTCCTAAAACCTAAAACCAAAATGTGTTCTTGTCTTAGGACAAGTTTGGTGAACTTTTTTGATCCACTTCAAATGTTGACTACTAGAGTTTTGGAAAATTCTGATAATTTGAATGTTGTTTAGGAAGCAAGTTTTTAAACAACACCAATGTCGATGGTATTGTCCTAAATTGTAAAATGACAATTAAAAACTATGTTGTAAACAACTTCACAGGTCAAAGAAAAGTGTTGTTATGGTCAATTAAAACGACTAAAAATTGTTTTCAGCATCTGAAATAAAACAAAATATAAATATTACATGGAAAACTTACATTTAAATAAGTTTCCTTGGTGACTAACTGAATGAGTTTAAGTACTGAAATGAATAAAACTGAAATCAAAATAAATTGATTAAAACAGAAAAATAAAAGGCACAAAAACTAATAAAAATGACAAAAGCATATTACAACATTAATAAAACTTAAAGAAAAATTAGAAATGTTGCCTTGGCAACTAACTTAAATTAAAGTTGAGGTAGTAAAATGACTAAAACTTACATAAAAATAAATTAAAGAAACGTATATATAAACACATATATATATATAAAAATGACAAAAGCACAAAAATTAGAAAAAATTAGAAAAATGAGAAGTACTGCCTTGGCAAATAATTGAAATAAGCCAAAATCTAATTAACTAAAGTACTAAAATTACTAACACTGAAAAAAAATATTAAAGCTAAACAAAACTGCCCAGCTCAATCCAAGCAGCTGAGTCCTTAATATTTTGAAGAAACGGCTGAAAACACATCTCTTTCATCTTCATTTGACCCTCTAACTCTAGCACTCTCTATTCTAATACTACTTCTAATTATATCTGCTTGGTTTTTTTTATTAAAAAAACTTGACCCTCTAACATTTGCACTCTCTATTCTAATACTACTTCTAATTATATCTGCTTGGTTTTTTTTATTAAAAAAACTTGACCCTCTAACATTTGCACTCTCTATTCTATTTCTATTCTAACTACTTGTTTTATTTATAAAGAAAAAAGAGCCTCTAACACTAGCATTCTCTATTCTTTCTTTATTCTTTCCACTTATTTTCTTTTTATTGATTATAAATAATGACCTTCTAACACTAACATTATCTGTTCTTTTTCTGTTCTATTGAATTGTTTTATTTTTATTAAAAAATGACCCTCTAACACTAGCATTCCCTATTCTTTTTCTATTCTTTCAACTTGTTTTCTTTTTATTTATTATAAAAACAAAAAAAGCAAAAAAATATATAAATAAATCTTTCTATGTATACTGTTAGGCGGAGCCCCACCCATGTCTCCGCCCACGAACCCCGCCCCCTACTGTCCTCTTTTTGAAAAACTAAAATAATGGTCACCCTAATGTTGCCTCACGAGATGTTGAAATGCAGTGGAAACGCCAGTATGACGAGGATCGTTTTCATTTAAAAAAATAAACGCACCAGTGTAAATGTAGCTTTACATCTATGGGGGCTGGGACGCATTCGCACTGCAGCCTCATGTGTGCGCCACATCTCTGAGTGTAACCGGTGTAAACTAGTAGGTGTGTTCGACTTGATGCGAACTGACTGTGCAGACCGATCGCTGTATTACGGTGTATTACGTAAAGAGAGCAGACTGCTCCGTGCGCTTTCGAATCGCTCTCGCGGATGATCGATCTGCGCCGCACCACTTCTAGTCGAACACACCGGCTAGTGCTGCAGGCTTATTGGCTCACTGACGCTGATGAGATTAAACCCTTAGGTATCGAAATTTGGTACCGAACGACGAGACGTTTTTCGATACTCGATGGTATCGAGGCATTTCGGTCGGTGCCTAAAAAGTATCGAACTCGATACCCAGCCCTAATCACGGGAATAAAATATATTAAAATTAAATTGAAACATACATAAAAACTACTAAAAATGACAAAAGTAAAAAGAATAAATAAAACAAAATTAGAAATGATGGCTTGGAAACTAACTGAAATAACCTTAAGTACTAAAATTGCTAAAGCTGACAGAGAAATACAAATAAATTAAGACTAAACAGAAAAAATAAATATATACATACATACATACATAGAATTAACAATGACAAAAGAATTACATAAAATAACTAAAACTTGTACCAAAATTAAAATGAAAACTGAAAATATTCTGGAAGGTGATTAATAAAGGCACGAGGTGGAAGCACTCACTCTCTCTCTCTTTCTTCTTCATGCGCTTGCGTCTCCTGTCGATGGAGGCCACCTCAGATTTGAGCAGGAGGTAGTGATTCCTGATGTCCTGCAGTTTCTCCTGAAGGAACGCTATCCGCTCTAGACTGCTCATCTTTTCCAGGTCCGCTGGAGGGACAGGAGCGAAAGGGAATCAGCATCAAACATTCATTTCTTCTCATTGAGAATGTGTGGCAGTTTGTGGCACTTACTCATCTGGAAGCTCCACTTGCTCCGGCCGTGGGAGTGATCCGGATCGCCGTGTTTGTGGTACTTGTGGCCTGAGGGGGGCGTCCGCTTCAGCTCGCTGCTGCTCTTGGATGTGGGGGATTTGGCAGTGCTCTCGCTCATACACTGGTCCTCACTGTCACTGCTGTGGGCTGCAGCGACACCCGGAGGAGAGGAGAGACAAACACTGATCGTCACAAACATGAAACCTCTTCATGAAAGCTCATATGGTACTTTAAACATTTTAAATTTGCCTTTACATTACATTTAGCAGACGATTTGTGACCCTGGACCACAAAAACAGTCATAAGGTTACATTTTTTTGAAATTGAGATTCATACGTCATCTGGAAGCTGAATAAATAAGCTTTCCATTGATGTATGGTTTGTTAGGATAGGACAATATTTGAAAATCTGGAATCTGAGGGTGCAAAAAATCAAAATATTGAGAAAATCACCTTTAAAGTTGTCCAAATTAAGTTTTTAGCAATGCATATTACTAATCAAAAATTAAGTTTTAATATATTTACAGTAGGACATTTACAAAATATCTTCATGGAACATGATCTTTACTTAATATCCTAATGATTTTTGGCATAAAAGAAAAATCTATTTT